CTAGACATCATCCTATAAGGGACAAAATCTCTAAGGGAACCTAAGGGATGCCAGTCGTCAAACCAAAGAGAAGTTGAATGCCCATCACCTAACTGCACTCCAATATGCCTTCTTATTTTGTCTCTTTNATTATATTATTGAATATCACTAAAGGCATGACTTCTATATCATAGCATTCATTTATATATTCGTATATATTGATATATGTCCTTAGAAAGGTTGAACCGTGACAAGGGAATTAAGTGTTTTAAATCTTAATTGTGAGGACCCTATGATTGCATATGGTGGCTATTCTAGAACTATTCGTAGCCCTAGTATTAATCTGACCAAGGACACAGATTATATGACAAGGCTATCATAGCGTTGAACGACCCCACCTAAAGGTAGTGATAGTTCTCACATGTTAAGGTTGTTAGGTGACAACCTGGTCCGATGCATGGGTGCTTGTTAATGACAAGTTCACTAGACTGACCCACCGGAGGATTCCACATAGGATGGTAACATCAGTGTCTGTGGAATATATCCACCAACAGATGGTGGTGCATGTGATCCCTCGACTTGAGATCACCAGAGCGTCATGTGTAATTATTAGTGTAATTTGACACTAGCCTAACGTAATCCTATTTAGGGTTGTCAATACGGTAGTCGTAGGTTACATCGAGAAGTACATTATGGCTATGGTGGATCAACAAAGGATTCATCACTATTGGAGAAATTATCTCGCTGACAAATTTGGTAAGGAACACAACTGCAAAATCTATGGCCACAGTGGAATCGAGCCAGTACTTGAATCCAATTTATATGGTTGTTGATTCGACAACCAAATATAAACATATCAAGGTACATTCATTGAAGTTAACACTATTTATATACTTCAAACATTGATGAGATAAATGATGATGAAAGGATTGGAATTGCACGGTAACCATACTGTTGAAAGGTAGCTACTTCTTTGAATCTTTATTTGTTAGGCAATCATGATGCCTTACTAGAGGTCAATCTTGATTGGTGTAAAAAACACTAATTAGTTGATGGTTAATTATAAGTCTAGTCACTGCCAACATAATAAACAGCCTACAGGTCACACACATTAAAGGCATATTTATTGAGAATGAAAATGAAGAGTAATTTTGTCTTTTGGATGAAAAGGGTATTTTGGTAATTTTTTTGTGTGATTAAATTCTCCGAAGGTCGTTGCCAACATTCAATATTTATATTGAAGTTAATTTAGCAAAGCTATAACTATATTAATATTAATATGAAACATTAATATTAATAGGGAATAAATATATCTAATATAATTAAATATATTTAAATATGCCATTAATTAAATATATGGATAGACAAATATTCATATTTATTTATTAGGAATATATATTTAATTGGGAAATATCCTATAGCAAAATAGGAAGGTAAATTGAATTAGGAAATATCCCATTCCAAAATAAGGAATAGAAATATTCCTATTCTTAATGGGGAATATTTTATTCCCCACTTTAAAAGAAAAGGAATGGGAGAATTAAATCAATAAGATCGTTATTTTCTCCCAAGCAAAAACCCTAGCTGCCTATTGCTTTTGAGAGAGAATTTCTTTCTCTCAATTGTGCGTTCTCTCTTCTTGCACCCAAGGATTCTAGAAAACTTCCTTGCGTGTGGATTAGCCTCCCTGCCTTCGTGTGGACTTCTCAAGAGTGATTCCATCTTCAATCAACTAGTGAAAAGTAAATCAAAGAAACCAAAAGGAGCCTCAAAACATAGGTAATAACAACAAACCTTGTATGGGTTGTTTTATTTTATAAACGGATTGCATATATCAATCTTGATCATGGGATTAATGGGTTAAATTGAATAAATATTTGTTTTATATTCCGCGTATTATTGAACCATAACCCCACATCATCAATGTATACCTCCATCGTCTCTTTGATGAGGTCAACGAACATCTTATTTACCAGTTGCTGATAGGCTGCCCTTGTGTTCTTCAAACCAAAGGGCAAGACTTTGTAATAGCAAAGGCCCTTGTCCGTAATGAAAGAGGTGTGTGGCTCATCAGAACCGTACACCAGGATTTAGTTGTATCCCGAATAGGCATCCATGAAGCCGAATAAAGCATTCCCCGTGGTTATGTTTACTAGCTAATCGATCAAAGGAAGGGGAAGCTATCCTTGGGGCATGCTTTATTAACGTCTTTGAAGTCAATGCATGTTCTCCATTTTCTGTTTGACTTTTTGATGACAACAGGGTTGGCGAGCCACTTTGGGTATTTGACTTCATTAATAAACTTTATTTCGAGGAGTCTGTCGACCTCCTTTTTGAGCGCTTGGAACCGTTCCACATCCATTGCCCTTATCTTTTGTTGGATTGTTCGCATTTCAAAGTCAATGATGAGGCGGGTGACACATGATTCTGGGATCTATCCCGGCCATGTTGATGTGTTCCCAAGCAAAAACATCTAGATTTTTCTTCAAGAAGGAAATCATTCGATTGCATGTTTCTCCTTCAAGATTGTTCCCCTTTCTAAGGGCATGGGTGGAGAACTGCGGGTCCACGGGGACCTCGCACAATTCCTTGACCAGGCTAGTGGGAGGCTTATCTTTGTGCATGCGTGGGTTGCAAGGAGTCTCCAGCTAGTTTGGGCCAAGACATAGAGTTAGTGGCCATCGCGATCGAGGGTTGTTTACCATTGCCAGACATGTAAACCATCAATAGCGGCCCTCCTTCTAGTGCCAAAATGTTGATGTGAAATTCTGTATCAACCAGAATGCCGAAATACGAACACATGTCAACTAGAGGTACCCGATTGACCTAGGCGAGTACCAAGTAAGATAGGTGCATGATTCCGGGGAATCATCAAAGGTGACTCGAATCACACATGATGGTGGTTGAAAAAAAAACGTGTCTCCCAGAGTGTAGTGTGAAAACTAAGCATTTTTAAAGTGGTTCGGTCAAGGAACAAGCAAGGCCTACATCCACTGACAAATTATTCAAGTGTATATACCATCTAGGTTACAAAGAGTGGCTTTTTGTTTTTCTTTTCCTTACAAAAGAGGAGTTTTTTTGTTACTCTTATCATCAATATAAGAGCATGGTGACTCATTGAGTCAACACTTTGTTTTTGTTGTTTGCATTGACCTGGATTAACTATGTAGTTGAGGTTTTTTTTGTTGCATTTTAGTGGTGGAGATGGGGTGAAATGAGGCTTTGTTAGTTGGATTTCAAAAATGCAACACGTAGTTATGTTTACGCGAAGTGTTGTTTATTATCTTTGGCAGTATAATTGAGTTTTGTGTTTAAAATTTTGATTTCATTGCGAGGATTTCGATTTCATTGTTCTTTTGTTAATCTGCGTGTGATATGGGAATGGCTTTAATTAGTGGTAAATTGGAATTTCACCATGGTTTGATGCGGGTGGTTAACTTTGCGCATGTATGGGTTGGGTGTCGTGGTTGGAGTAGTGGGTGGGGTGGCTGCTAGATGTAAGATGGGGTTTGCAACAGTAAGAATTGGTTGGACAAACATGAAGAAAGCTTTTTTAACAACTTAAATATGGACACAGCAAACATGCATTAAGCTCGCTATGTAAACCAAATCAAGTAATTAATACTGAAATCGCTGACTCCATGAATAAACACGTAGGTAAACAATAATAGATAATTAGAATACTAGTGATGGAATACAAGAAGATAGACAAACAACCACTGCAGTCCTTGGACTTCAGTGACACTGTTCACTTAACGGTAAATTATTTCCGATACCACAGGGTTGAGAGTTTTTAAAATTTAGGTAGAAGACTATACGAATCATGCATATTAAAACATAAACGTACGACCACACTAAGCATAAATAAAAAGAAATGATAAATATACAAGGACTCTTACAAAGAGTCTTTGTACAAAGTGATGTGACAGTTGCCACACCACTAATTTCACATCAATCTTCTCTTTCTTTTTCACAAACTATGATGTCTTGTAAGAGTCTTTGTACATTAAATTTCTCAACAAAAAAAAAAAAAAAAAAAAAAAAAAAATACATTCGACAGATGCACACAAGTGCATGCAGTAAAACATTTTTAACTTGGTACAGTCCTTGTATCTTATTTACACCGCATTGGGATGAGATTTTTGTGATTCATATCATAGGACTTGTTCAACAACTGTCTGCCTTCAGTGATAATTTACTAGGGACTAAGAGAATATCAGCAATCTCCAACAAAATCCGGCGATAACATCTCATAGGACTAGGAACGAAAATTCTTGAGTCAAACAATTCTCAGAAGGAGAATTGAAACAGGGAACAACAATCACTCGAAGAATCACTCGTCTAAATAACAGCAAATAGAATCAAGACACTGGAGAGCAAGTACAGAAACAAGGTAAAAAGTAAAAACAACGAACACCCTCATAGATTGGGAAGTGTAGTACAGACTGGAATGCTAAAATAATAACATCTTCCTAATATCCCAAGTTTTCCACCATTGCGCCATCAAGAACATGAATGTGATTATATTCAGTTAAATAGCAGATCACTTGTTGCCGCTCAAAAGACTTACAATTTTAAAGTTTTAAACCGTGTCCAATTAGCAACAAAGAAACCCAATCATGTATCCATAAAGACCATAAACAGCGAAGTATCCTGCCAAAAGGTTAACATCATTAATATAAGACAAAAAAAAAAAAACAAAAAAAACAAAAAAAACAAAAAAAAAAAAAAACACAATAAAAAACACAAAAAAAAGCAAAACAAAACAAAACAAAAACCAGCACACTGAAAAGTATGTAGAAAAACATATTACCCGCTTGACTACTGTTTATTAAGCCAAAATGGGCATCTTACTTCTATGTACTTCTTTTACTTCCCAAGTGAGAAAAGGGAACTCAAAACTGTAGGTCCCTCATCATCAGTCCCCCAGATAACCCATCCACAACCAGACCACCATCCATAACTGCATTTGCCTATGCCATGAAGCAAATGAAAAACCTGGCAGCAATTTGGCTAGTTGCTTATAAATAAGTAACAAGAATGGAGCAGATATTATGGCATTCAAAGAGTAAAACAACAAATTCGAAACTTCATGTCAGAAAGCACAAGACTCCTTCAGCCAAAACATCAAATTGAGCATTTTAGGAACAATTAACAGTTGAATATTTGTGCCAAGTTTTGGAGTCAAAAGACTGATGTATGGTACTGATCCACCCAGAAAATAACGAAGAAAACACATCCAGTAATCAGAAGCTTCATGCTCTTCGGGTAGTATAAGCAGCGACTCCAACTCCCCTGCTGCAGCAGGATAGGAACATGATTCCATCAGTAAAACAAAAATGGTGATTAACATCTAAATGTTCAGTACATGCACTTAGCATACCAAGATCAGAAGCAGTCATTTATCCAGAACGAAAGCCTCCTGCTCCTCGACGTTCATAAGGTCCAGAACGGTCACGATTATAGCGATCACCTCCAGAACCACCACGACTGCCAGCATCTCTGTTGCGCCCACCAGATCGATCACCATTTCTGTCAGGACCATAACGACCACCGCCACCACCACCACTGTTACCATATTTATCATCCCTACCACCATACCTACCCCCTCTCGCCCCTTCATTAGGGCACTCCCTAGCAAAATGTCCAGGCTTGCCACACTTAAAACACTCTCCACCATTAGATCCACGCCCACCGCCATAGTCACGGTTATGGTCACGATCACGCCCACGATCACGGCTACGGTAACGGTCACCATCATGATCCTTTCCTGAACCTTGTTGTGGTTGAGCTTTATCCACAGTTATAGTTCTCCCATCTAAATCAATTCCATTCATAGCTTCAATAGCATCTTCCATTGCTTTTTTCTCGTCAAAAGTGACAAACCCAAATCCACGAGAACGACCTGAGAACTTGTCAACAACAACCTAAACAGAAACAAAGATTCTTGTTAAATCATATCATTACCATCAGAAAAAAGAATAAAGCAAGAAAGAACTTAAAATATTAACAACAGAATTCTATAAAACAATATTAAAGTTTCATCAAAATTTTATATGTTCATCAAAAGATGAGTTCTTCATACAACATCAATTTCCTTACCAAATCAACAAGCCCTAAAAAGAATAATGTCTTTAAAGTAAGTTAAATACTTCTTATTTCAGCAGCAAGACACTCCACAAGGTAACATAAAATTTGATAAGTATAATTTTTGAGAGAAGAAAAAATTATGTATTCAAATAGCAACCCTTATTGATCATAAAATGGCAATAGTCACAGAAAAACCAGAGAAAAAAAGATTCTGAATTAGTGAAGCTCTTAATAACTTGATAAAGCTTAAATAGAGCAGATTTAATGATCAACAGAATGAGAGATACTTCAAACCTTACCTAGTGAATTCAATTGCTGAAAACTTATAGTTTTTATTTCTATATTTAGAATGGCCACAAATGGTGGTGGAATATTTCCTGAAAGGGAAAGTCAAGACATTGGAAAATAAATCTGGATTGTCAATGAAAACTTTACTAGATAAATACTGGGGTCTTCCTTCAGGAGATAAGCCTAGATCCTCTAATTTGTTGGATTTGGTGGTTGAGAAAATTAAAATAAGATTTAAAAAACATATATTGGGGGATAAAAAAGAGGCTTCCTTTTGAAACAGAACTCACCCTAAGGACATTGTGATAGGCAACAGATCGATTAGAAACCCATGGAAAAACGTCTCTAAGGACTACCCTTCTGTTTATCACTCACACTTCCCAACGTAGGGGATGGAAGGCATTTCTGGTTTTGGGAGGACAAATAGATAGGAGACATTCCTATATGCGAATCATCTCTTATCTTCAAAGAATTTTTCCCCATATGATAAGTTTCTATAATTTTTAGTGTGGTATTCAACCATCTTACTTGAAGTTGGAACTGGAATCTCAAATTCAAAAGGAATTCCAATGTGAGAGATTCAAAAACACATAAAACTTATGGAGGTGGAGAAATGTTCAGATACATTAAATGGAGAAAGATGGAAGATTGTGGAAGATAAGACTCCTGAAATACTGGTTCCTCCTTTCAAGGGTCAGAAAAAAGCTTGCTTGTCTACAAGGGGGAGAATTACTTAATTTATACAGTCTCGTCTTATCTCCTTAATTATTATTTTAATCTTTGTTTAAGATTTAGGATATAGTGGTATTTAAAAATGAAAAGTTACAGTAGCAAATTCTATGAGAGACCTTTTGTGAGACTGGAAAGGAAGAAGATCAACCTTGTTAATTGGAACTTAATTTCTCATCTGTTGAGTTGTACAAAGCTAAAATAGGAATGAATCTTTAGAATAGGAATGAATCTGTAAAATAGGAAATTGTTGATTGTAGTTTATTATGTTTACAATTAGAGAGTAGTGTAACAAGTATATATAGATGTACTTTATTCGTCAATAATATCAAAAGTATTCTCTCCTTTCTTTCCTAAGCGCCAGGAAATCAAAAATTGTGTAATTTCCGGTGACCGTTTTCCAGTGAAGTTCAGGCTCCCTCCTTAAGGTGGGTTGAGGATTGGCAATTTAATGAAGAATGTAGATTTTCTCTGAAATGAATTCTCTTTCACAGGAGGTAATAAGAAGTATTCAGAAAATTTAAGAATAAGGGACTCTAAAATTGTGTTTAGATGATCCATAAAGAATTCATGGAAAGCTCTACCTCAAATCTACCTGATTTTTTGGAACCATTAGGAAATTATTGTTGGGCGAAGGAATAGATTTCAGTTTTGAGACAATGTGGCATTGGAGAAACTCTATCGTTTTTCTAGAGCTCACAAGGTGTCTTTTAAGAGTAGGTTAGTTTTCTCCAATAACTCATTTGGGTGCCACTTTCATTTATTTGAAATTTTGAAGGATCGTGATGTCAGTGAGTTAACATCTCTTCTTTCACTTATTGATATTTTCTTTAGGATGATATGAACGAGAACTATAGTTGTGGTAGGTTGGAATCCTTAGGAGGCTTTTCTTTTAAATTATTCTTCAATTGGTTGATTGGATGTTTACACAGCTAAAAAATTACCAACAAAGTTTATATGGAAGGCAAAAGTCCCCTCTAAGATTAAAATTTTGTCTTCGCTGGCTGCTCCTGGTATGGTTAATATTTTGAAGTAATAAATCTCGATGTCTCAAGTTTATTCATCTCAAAATAGGTGCAGTGTGTGTAGAAAGAAGCATAAAGCTTTAACTCTTTGTTCCTACACCACCTGTAACTTTTTAATTGGTTTAAAATTTCTAGTGACTAATATTGATTGTATTAGTACATAAGAATAGTGTCTCATTGATGATGGAATATCATTATGCATTTGGTGGAGAGCAAGTTGTGGTCCTTTGGAGAACCCTATTTTGGTTGTGGTCTTGGTTATTACGAAAGGGAGATATTGCATACTTGAGCTACAATGGGAAAGAATTCTAAATACATATATCAATAAAAGATATCAAGAGTGTTACATGTAAAGCAGGCCTATGTGATTGCTTATGAACCCTATCGGTAGTTACCCAAGTTCGACCCTTTTTTCCCTCATTTTTACTTTCTATTGTACTGACTTATGAAATTCTACACGCTGTCCAATTTTTTTCAGCTCCTAATAACCATCAAGCAAAGTCCAAATCAATCCCCACCTGACCTAAAAACTATCAACATTAAACTAAAGCCTTATAATATATTATGCTGCAGTACAACTCCTAAGCAAGCTAACAATTTAGGAAGGAAAACAAATTTTAAAAAAAAAAAAAAAAAAAAAAAAAAAAGTAAACAGTAAACATAATTGAAGGACTGGTTACCTTTGCCTCAAGAAGATGGCCAAACTTTTCAAATGCATCTTTTAAACCTCTATCAGATGTTGACCATGAAAGGCCACCAATAAAGCAACGGTACTCCACCTCCCCTGACATACTCACAGCTGGACTTTTTTCCGAAACAAAATAAAAAAAAATAAAAAAGAGAAAATCAGATCTTTTATTTCATTTGTCAAAACTATTGATCTTGTTATTGTGAGTTACATATGCCAAGTGAAGAAACAGGTTCATATCATAGCAAGTCCCCTAGAAAGAAAATTCTAAGAACGATGCAGATGTCACAAACAAAAATAGCTATGACTGCAAAAACCTATTCTTCTATAAATAAGTTATCATCCACCTGTAGACTTGAATGTACATAAAATATTACAATCATAAAACACTTGTGAATTATTGACATCAAATACTAGATCAAGATTTTCTTTAATATTTATGGGTTTGCTTAATAATGTAAACCTCAAGGTTATGACCCTGTAAACCTAAAGGTTATGACCCATGACCCAATTCTAACCCATCAAATGCGATAAGCCTGAATCAGCAGAACAATGATCGGCTCAGGTTTGCCAGAGGCTAGGTTTAAGCCCAATAAGTTATTTTTTTGAATTATAATCTACTTTTATAATTTTGACGACAAATAACATTTTCTTGTTATATAATTTTATGGATAACAAAATTGAAGATAATAGAGAAGTTTATTGGAGGATTTTATTTATAAAGAATAAGGAAAAAAGTATAGTTAATGGAGTATATATCCTTCGCCCAAATTCTAACTTGGTGCAACTCCATCACAAGCAAGTTATTGGAAGCAAAACATCACTGGTGACTGCTTGATCGTCAGAGACAACATCTCAAGGATTGACACTGACAGTGACAACCAGGAAAGAAGAGGGAGTGACAAGGGGAGACAGGGAGAGAAATTGAGAGAAAACATATCACAAAGTAAGTTATAGACCTAGTGCTGTAACTTATAGGCAATAAACAAGTGTACCTCTATGAAATTAATTCATTAACAAGGAACAGATGTCCAATTTAAAAATTAATTTTACAACATTTAGGGGTCAGTTTTATTCAGTTTGCTAGTAACCTAAAATCGCACCAGCACTACATTAATTTCAAAGGCATAAATATGTCCCAACCTGACAATCTATGGGTCAGATTGGCTAGCAAGTTTAATGCTCACCCCCGAACCTATGTGTTAAATTATTAAATTATTAAAACATAGTAAAAAAGCAGTGTTTCATGAGAGAAAATGCAAAAAGCGAAACAAATTGTGTATGAAGGCATTCTAAGGAGAAAAATGATTAGTATTACTTAAAAAAAGAGTTCTAAAGAGAAATGGTTAGTATTCCTTGGAAAAACAGTTATTTAACTAATAAATGCTATAGTTTTCTTCTTTTTCTTTAAATATCTGTAGTTTAAACAGATAAATTTTTTCTAGTTGATTGGTAGATGGAAAAAATTTTGAAACTACATGAGGTCCCTTTCGTTTTATGATAAAACTTAAATAAGGTTAATATAATTTCCGACATTTAATGTTTTTTGTAATTAGAAAGACCATAATTTCTTAAATAATTTACCTCATGTTTGCCCCACTGAAACAAAAATTGTGGATAGAAATGAACTCAAAATATATCTTGCACCAAACCACATCTTTATAGTTCTGCGCCTTGAGTAAATTCCCCGGACAAATTAACTTTGACAAGCACCAACTGCCTAAATAGTGAACCCTTGGAATGCAAAGCAATTTATAAACCTAAAAGCACATCTAAACCTAAGTCCAAAAAATGAAAACCAAACAATTAAAAAAATAAATAAATAAAAAACGCTTTGACTTTGTTTAGCTTGAGAAGCCATCACATACATCAATCATGAGAGTTATTATTGACTGTCGGTTTGACCATCTATAATTACAAGGAACAAAAGAAAAAAAACTCCGCCATTGACAAAAAGAAAAACGTTTTTTTAAGTATTTTAATATTCTAATTACTCACAGCTTACAAAACTCCAAACTTCTAAGATCTCAAGAAACTAAAGAGCAATCAAATTTATATGCAGTATAAAAATACTAAGACAAATTGAGACAGATCTAATTATATTAATATGGACTTCATTTAGAGGAATTATGATGAAAAGTGAGAATTTGCATACCAGAAAACACGCGTGAGAATTCGATTAGAAGAGATATCTTTTGGCTTCGTTTTGAATTCGATTCGAACAAACCCTAGAATTGAAGTGACAGTGAGAACCAGAATCAGAGACTACAAAATACGGTGACTACAGACTCGTTGTAGTGTCTAGTAGACTAGTTGAGATTCTGTTGTTACCTTTTCATTTTCTATTTTTTCCAAATGACCCTTCCAAGTTAGGATAATTATTTACATGGGATAACGGGTTATAAAACCCCTGAGGTTTGGCGAACGCAACATAAACCCTCTCTGATATGGGTAATGACTCAAAACCCCCTGTGTTTTTTACCTTTGAGTTAGTTTTAACTTTTAACAAAACAGAGGGTAAGAAAAAAATTTCCTAACCTAAAAAATAGATAAAACCCCTAAATTTAACCCATTTCTCCCCACTTCACCCTACCAACAAGCCATAGACGATGTTGTACCAAGCCATGGACGATGTCGTTAGGAACCCTACCCCGCAACACTATCATTGGAAAATCCTCAAGCATGCCGCAACCATTGGTAGTTTGTCTCCCATCGTCACCTCTTTGTCCCTCCTTCTCTCATAATTGTATGCTTGCAATTCCCTCCTGCTCCCATAATTGTTTATGGAGATGTGGTGTAGTGGATTTTCTAAGATAAGGCAGCATTATTAAACTTTTCAGCGATATTGATGCAGACGATATAATTTAAGAATTCTCAAGGACATATGATTATATTATTTTCTTATTTTTAGCTTTTCTTAAAGTGTTAATAACAATAATCCCCCGCAAGTATAATCAAAAAAATAAAATTCTCCTTGTGGTTAGAGAAATAATAGAAATCTCCTTACTGTTAAGTTTTTTGTGTTAAAATAAATGGCGCAATTAAATAACAGTAAGGCCGTTTTTGGCCATGGCTCTATGATCCATGGTCATGAAATGGCCAAATTTTGTCGTTTTAAAGCCAAATATGTGGCCGTGAAACGGCTACAGATCTAGCCGTTTCACAGCCAAATATCTGACCTTTTCACAGCCACATCTTTGACCGTGAAACGACCATAGATCTATGATCGATGGCCAGAAATGGCTTTGTCGGTGTACAACGGCCATTTATGGCTAGTCGTGCGCCATTCTATCGTCTACCAGTGGTGGCTGGCTGCCGGTAGTGGCTGGCTGCCGGTAGTGGCTTGGGGTGAGTGAGGGTGATTTTGCTACAAATTAAAGTTTTATATGGCTGTGGTGTTTTAGCAAAATTTCAAATGTAGGGGGTTAAAAAAATGGTTCAAATAATAATAATACTATTATCATTATATTAATATTTAAAAGGAAGGCAATTTAGTAATCTATATAACATACCCACCCATTTATCCTCCCAACCAAGCATATAACTATAACATACTCACCAATTTATTCGAACCAATCAAACACATTTCTGTAAACATTCCTAGTAGTCTTTAAGGTGATCTACTTTCCATTAATATAACATCACCCTATAATAAAACATTATCCAAACACACCTCGAGAGTTAAAGCAAATTGTGAGTTTATGAAGACAATGTTCAATGACTAAACTCAACAACTCATGAATGATAAATATGTTACCAAAACAATATGCTTTGAAGAGAGCAATAAATGCATTCAACTTGTAAACAATAAGTGTGAATAATGAATGCAAGAACAAGTGCAATAATTGATGTTCGACCAGTGAAAATGCAATGTAATAAAGAGTTGAGAGAGAGAGAGAGAGAGAAATGCTTAGCAATTTATTGTGGTTCAGAGCTATATCCACAAACCTCCTACATCCACTTCTTCAAGGCAACCTCCTTGAAGTTCCACTATAATTGGATTTCTCCCATACAATAGTTTTCACAAGGATTTTCACCTCACACACAGATTTATAGGACTGCAACTAGTTTTACGAGATTTCACCACCAACGAAAGGATTTAAAGTTTTTTGTGACTGATTGCCTCTTTCAAGTAGGCTTATACACATAATAAGAATAAATGATCTCTCAAAGGTTTACAAGATGAGTACAAGTGAGAGTATTGATTGCCTCTTTCTAGGGATTATATTAAGATGTTTTTCTTATCTCTTCTCTATAAAATGACCTGGGAGCATTGAACTTTTATAACCCAAAAAGAATTAGCCGTTGCAGCATTTAATGCAGTTTTGATAAAACTTGTAGAACCCAGAGGAACGGTCGTTCCATAATTGCGAATGGTCGTTCCTGACACAACGGTCATATTTTTCAGATCTATGTCAACTAGAACGGTCATTCCACCACACCGTATGATCATGCAAGACCACTGCACAGTCATTCCACCACGTGGAACGATCACATCTAGATGTTCTTCCAAATCTACTTAAATTTCCAAAGGAGTGAACAACCTCTTGGAACAATGTTGTGCAAAACTTCTTCAGATATGAACAATCATTCCACCACAAGGAACGATCATTCCAATTTTGAACTTAGAGTTTTGACTTTGACCTTTGAGATGAAGTCTAGAGCACAAAGTGATCTGGATTTGAATTATCTTTACTTTTAACCTTGGGTGCATGATCATGCAAGATGGTCGTGCGAATGCAGTCTCATCGTGTCGTACCTGAGCAGAAATTTGCTTATTACTTGAGTCATACCTTAGCATGTTAGGGTTAGTGTTCAATCAACTTTTTGGATAGTGATAAGAGCTTAGAAATACATATTTTGTTAGTGATTCAATTGAATTATTTGTGGAAAAATGTGTTTTTATTGCAAAATTTGAGTTAATTATTTCATAAATACCTTTTATGGGATCACGGGGTGTATTTTGAGTATTTTCAGGTTAAAAATGATATTTGAATGAAGAATAATGATGTCGATGGAAATTTTGACGAGTAGAAACAAACGGAGCAAGAATTGGAGTTAAAATGAGAAAGTTGTGACTCATTAAAGATAAGACTTAAAACCTGGAAATTGTTCAAGATGAGCATGCTTTGATGTTTTGATCATAATTTGAGCTGTAGAGATTGGAATTTGATGATTCTTATGGTGTTGGAAAGCTTATTCAGAGAGCTACAAAGTTCATGTTTATGAATTCACCAAATTCTGAAGATTACAGACTCTTGGGACAGAAAGAACTATCGATACACCGACCGTTTCTGTCATTGCAGCGATGAATTGCATGCCTGTTTGGGTTATTTTATTTTGCTAGTCTGCATCTGAATGGTTTAACCCATTTAATTCTTTCCTAATTAACCTCCAAACCCTAGCACTATAAATAAGGGTCTTTAATTAGTTTTTAGGGAGATTAGAGAAGGAGAAAGAGTGGCAACTATTTTGGAGATAAAAATTCTTGCAGTTTTCATTCACCAATTAGAGAAGTTTTTTCTTGAATACAATGGTTGTTTTTAGTATTACAATCATGAACTAAATTTCTTTTCGAGGGCCAAAGATGTAGCCCAATTTATGAATATGTGTTGATTTTATTGTTGTTAATTTTAATTGAGCATTAATTCCAAGTTTTATTATTGTGTGTAATGCTTTCAATTCTTATAGATACGAGAGTTGAATGATATCATGGGTTGGGTTGAGATCGAGAGATGAAACTTGATTGTTCTAAGGTAATAAAACCATAGATTGAGCTAACGCTAGAGATAGGTTACCGCGATCTGTGAGACTCTGGTAAATTTCATAGAACTTAATGATCTTTAATCTCTTAGCTTCTAAATCCACTTTAGAGATATTTTGGGTTGTTGCTTAAGGGTTAATTCACTAATTATTTGAGAGAAAGTTAGTGAAATATTAGGGAGTTTGGCCTTTAAAATAAGCTTAATTAGGTTAGCAATAAATGTTAATACATAGGATTAAATTGTGTGAAATAAGTACCCTAGGTTTAATCATTTTGATCTTTTCACCAGAGTATTAGTAAAATTCTACTTTTGTTTAGTTTTTAGTTTGTTTTATTTTTCATTAAATCATTCTTAAAATTTTTTTTTATCAAATAGTAATAAAATAGATTAGTTTGATACTTAGTAAGTAGTTCTCTTGGGATTCGACATTCGTTTACTCGAGCTTTACTACTTGCGCGATTTCGTATACTTGCGAATAGCCTGTCAAGTTTTTGGTGCCATTGTTGGGGAACTATTTTTTTTAGCAATATCAATACAAGCTATTTTGTTGGTAATTTTAATTTTTGATTTTTTTTTGTTTTTGTTTTTCCTTGTTATTTTAAGTAGTTTAGTTTTAATATTAGGTTTACTTGTTCTTTTATTTTTATATTTTGTTTAGTTTACCAAAGTTTTCTTGTTTTTAGGTCTTAGATCATGCACATAACAAGAGTGTAGACTTAGTTCCTTTTGGCTCTAAAATTGAGAGAACAATTCAACAGTTGAGAAAAGTGATGGCAAGTAACAACTATATGACGCCTTTGGAATGGAATTTTTCAAGAAGAGTAGTAGGAGTTCATGAATTAGACGATTACATTGCTTTGGCTACTCAAGTTTCAACTATTCAACAACAATTGGGTGCTGCACTTAAAGTTAATGCTATCAAGTCTCCTACTTGAATTTGTGAAATCAGAGATTGCCAAATAGGAAGTCCGTTTACACAACCCGAACAATTCAATTACGTCAACAACTTCCAAAGAAGTCAAAGGAATCCTTATTCCAACAATTATACCCTAGCATGGTAGAATCATCCTGATTTCTCTTGGAGCAACAACAATGATCCTACACCACCTCGTGAAATCAAATTTGGAAGATGTGCTTGCCAAGTTTATTGAGAAGTCAAGCAAACGATTCGACAAGCACCACATTCTTCTCTAAAATCAAGCGGCATCTATTAGGAATCTTGAAGTTCAAATGGGACAAATTCTTAATATTCTATCAGAAAGAGTTCAAGGATCGTTGCCAAGTGATATGGAGAAGAATCTGAAGAAGCAAGTCAATGCAATCACTTTGAGGAGTGGTAAATAACTGGAGGAACCAAGGGATAAGGAACAAATTGAAGCAGACCAGGAACGTGCAGAAATTCACACACACTATGGCGATAAACATTATCATTGTGGCAAGCGTGAAAAATCACGAGAAGATGAGCAAGTAGAGTTTAATGTTTTCGATGCCATGAAACGTCCATCTGAATTAGATACATGCTTTGAGATTAGTATCCTTGATAACATAGTGCCTAAATTTTTTGAAGAAAGCTACCTTA